AAGAAGCAGCACTGACCTTCATTTTGGTTGGCAACTATTAACACTTGCTTATAAAGTAACCCTAAGGCTTTAGCCAGGATAATGTGCTCTGAAATCCCTGGTAAGACTGAGGTATGGGCATCAGCACAGAGCGAAACTACGGGAAGCAGGGGAGTGGGGCTGAGTGCTGCATGACATTGCCTCAGCATCTACGTGCACCCTCTAAAAAAGCCTCAGAAAAGCCTAATTATTTCATACTGTAGGCTTACAGGCTCTTTTTCTGCTCAAATCCCAGATTTGGAATGAAGTAACCCCTTGTGCCAGCACTGCCTTACACCTCGCATCTGCTGTACTCTTCCCGTCTGTTTAATATTCTCCATGACACTGTGATGTGCGTGTGCAACATCCAAGAAGCACGGCAGGGGCATCTTGCCTTGATGCACCTGGAAACCTTGGCACCAGGCAAGCAGCTGAGGAGAGAAAAGCATCACAGACCTGCAAATCACAGACAATTGTGAGAGAGGCTCCATATGCTCTGCTGCTCTCCAAAATATCAGTTTGGCACTGCATCAAAATATTATCCCCAACCTTGAAAGTGGGTCTCCATTGAAACTGTGAAACTATGTGACTGTGAGCCTCAGGCAGAGCTCTGCCTTTCCCCAATAAAGTCTGCCTGACAGAGGCATAGGTAATCTGTGGGGCCGGACACAGAGCCGCTATCAGGTTTAGAAGGGGATTGCAAGGTGTGTACATTAATTTTCACCGAGTCTATGTGCCACAGGCTCTTTTTGGTTGGGAACAGCCCTGCTTGGCCCAGCTGTGCCAGGCCAGGCATATGTTGTGGAGGCAGCACATGGACCGACGGGTGAATGGCTTCCTGACATCCGGTGGTTCAACGCAGCATTGTAGGAGAGGGCAGGAGATGCAGGTCTGGACTGTATGGACACGGGAGCGATGATGGACCCAGCACCTCAGAGAAATCTAGGCAAAACGCATTCATGAGCCAGACCAGCCGTGGCTGGAGAAGCCATGCTCTCAAATCTGCAACTAAGCTCCTCTGTTTCTTGCCAAAACCTTTGAATGCCTTCCTCACCCCAAACAGGAAATCTGTGACCTCTCTGTGAGAATATGAAGGGGGGACAGAGTTGGTGAATTAATCCAGCAGTTACCTGGGGGCAAGCAAGCAAAGTCCAGAGCAAAACAGGAGGAGAAGTCTCCTAACAGCCTCCTCCTTCCACTCCTGCTTGCCTCCTCTGCGGGTATGTGGTGGCAGGAGGTGACTGGGAGTTTTAGTTCCCTCTAGGAAAAGAAAAGATTGCTTCTTCCTACCCTTCCTGAGCCTTCAAAGTGGAAAAAAAAAAAAAAACCTTACTTACAATTATTTTGGAATGCAAGGGATTTAAAAAAGTGATATTTTCAAATGATTCCTGATATTGTGCAGCATTATTTCATCTTTGGCCACTGTCTTCCTATTATGACTTTTTGCTTCTTTTCCCTTTATGCTGACTTCCCTCTTACCTTCCCTGGGGGGGATTTGCTGCAACAGCACGCACCTTTGGGACTATCTGGTTGCCTTTTTAAGAGCCAACTGATTCAAATTTTGCACCACAGTAGCTCAGGTAAGAGGAAACAGATTTCTTCAATCTCACGCACTTCAGCTGCTGGTTAGGCATCTGCAACCTGGAACCCAGAGAGGAGGGAGTTTTCCTTACAAGTAGAGATGCTGAAATTTAAAAGTTCCCCTCCTCCGCGTCCGCAGCCAAGGCCCATGGGAACTGTGCATAATTACATTTTGGTCACTAAAAGGCACAAGAAAGCAGCGTAGACCTCAGGTTGCAGCACTGAAATGATGAAAAGTGCAAACTTTCAGGCTGATGCTTGAAGTTAGAGGATCTGGCCAAGAGCAGATAGTTCAGAAAGACACAGAGATTTCACCTCCTGCAGCTAGCAGTGTGGGAAGTGGATTGCATTGGAAAAGTTGGATACCTAAATAATGCAGCAAAAGTTCCTTCTTCCAGGTGATCTGCAGCGGAATTTTTTTTCACATCTTTTTATGTTCCTGTGTAGGTGACCGGACACCCCGCTGAGGTAGCCTGGTCAGGTTTGCTTTCAGTAGAAGCACAGAGCGCTGCTAGAAGAAAGATTTTGGATTTATTTATCAGGAATGGCTCTAGTAGAAATCTGCAGTGAAAGTATAGTTCACATTTTCTCCCTCCCCTTATTAGTTCCCTTCAGAGAGCTGAGAAGAGGCCATGCTTCCTCCAGGGTGCAGACCACGCTGGAGCTAGAGGCCCATGTGCTCCTGCATAACATCAAATAAGCAGGCAGAGGGGGCTCTGCATTGCAGACGATGCCATTCCCACCAACAAAATTATTAGCTAGACTGAGAAACAACAGCAATGCACTGGGGGATGCAGAGAAAGGGTCCATCTGTCTTGCTTTTTAGGTTGATTAGGGAAAGTATTTGACTTACCCAGCATGGGAAAGAATAGTGAAGAGCAATTTGAAAGGCTGAGGCTGGCAGCCTGGCAGCGTGTACGGAGGAGGGGAAATAGCTAAAAGGCAAAGAATGCAACGAAACAGTAGTCTCACCTCCAGCAACCAGCCTTAACATCCATAGCTGGACACAGCCCATGCACAGATAAAATGTTGATTTTTTCCCTTCTCACTGAGCTGTTGCACTGCTCAGCTGCTTACTTGCCACGCAGCCTCCTGCCCCTGCCGCAATCACTGCCTGCCAGTTTGAAAGGACAGTCTCCCCCCTCTGCTCCTGGATGGACAGCTTTGCATGTGCTGTATTAAAATGTCCCTGATCGACTCGCATCCTGATTTCTCTGCAGAACTGACTTGATTTTCTTTATTTACACCTTTTCCACTCCATGAGTCATTTGCAAATATTGGATAGTTTGAACCCCATATTGATTTCTTATTTTATTCACTTTTTCACGAAAGCATTGAGATAGTGTTGTCAAGTCAGATTCATTACTGAAGAATGAATACTTTATATCACCATTAGCAATGAGCCATGTGCTGAAATCAAAGAAAGACATCAATGTGATTTATTTTAATTACATTTATTTTCTGTAATTTTTTATTCATTGAGTCCTTTATCAGCTGTTCCATGCTTTTGCCAAAGATCAACTTCAAGCTGCAAATCAGTAATAGTATTAGCCTTATAAATACCTGGCTCACTCAATTTGCCCTTTTAAAATACTGGCACAACTTCAACTGTCTTCCAGCCTTTTGCAACTTCCTCAGCGTTCCACGTGTTACCGAAAATTATGACGGTTTCAAGAGCTTTTTGGCCACGTCTTTTAAAATTAGTGAATATGCTGGCACTTATGCGATGTTCATCCAGGTGTATATCTCAGCGGCAATGTGGATTTTACCGTAGGTGATTTACCCCACCATTCTCCCAGGGAGTGTAAGTGATACCCATATTAGGCTCCCTGCGAGTTTGCTGCTGTACCGCTTTGTTCCTGTATCAGCGCAGGTACAAGAATGGATCCAAGTCCAAAACGGCGACGCCTCCCTCATGAACGAAGCAGCTCAAAGCGTTACATTGCCAACATCACTTGGACATTGTGTCAGTTGTATCTCACTGCAGCGACGGCCGGAACTAGTAGTCATTAATTATCTTTGTCAAGTGAAATTTTTTTAATTGCCTGCAACTTCACTTCCATGAAACTCTCGCTTTCAGCTGCCAGCGCCAGTTTAAAGGTCACATCTCTCAGCAGTAATTTTTAGGAAAAATCCAGGCAAATTAATGGATCGTGAAGACATGCATGGCCCACCTCTGGCTGTACAGGATCGGCACGTGTCCTGGAGTCACCTGTTTGACGTGACTGCACTGAAGAGAAACGTCAACAGTATGGGGGTGGAGGAGGAAGGTGTTAAGTGAATCTGCCATTTAATACATGGGCACTCTTTTGTGACCTGTCTTTCTCCCTAAAAATAAAGGAAATTCAGCAGCAGATTGCCTTGAAAGCTGCTGCTCCTTGAACCTTGACAATATGTTCAGTGTTGCAAGGAGACACTCAACAGACAACATTCAGCACAGCTCTTATTTGCTCTAGTTATCAACTTTCCATACAGATGTTCTACACAGTTCATTGAACTGTCAGAGCATTGAGAGGAAAATAAATTAATTTTAAGTGGAAGGTTAAATCTTTTTTGGAATTATTGTATTGCCACTGAATAGCACAGAAACTCAATAATAACGGATAATAATGTTCTTCTGAGAAATTAAATAGAAGCCCAATTTATAATGCTACTCAGCACTTATATCGGAGTGTTCCACCTTCCTGCTACATGATAAACATTTACTAATTAATCCTCACAAAGCCTCAGCAAGGTAGATCTCTTCACACCACTGATTCTCTTTTATAAATGGGAATATGAAGATACAAGATACGGTCTTTGAAGCTGGGGTTGTTTTCAGACATGATTTGGATCTCTAGGAACGAACTCAGAATACGTATTTGAATACTAGGAGATTTGTAAAAGGCCTCTGAGCCAGGACCAGAAGTCAAAGTTTCCTCAGGCCCCTTTGCTGTGCTCCCATCATAGCTGCGCGTTTTGAGGTGAAACTTCAGTGTGATCTCCAGAATACTGATATTTTTCCTGTATGCTCATACTGTATTGCTAGAGCGATATTTAAAAGCAAAGCCTACGGTCCTAAGTCTCAAGCAAGAGCTGTATGAACTGGCCCATAATATAGTTGCTAAACGTGTTGGGACTCAAAGGGAAAAAACTTGTGACCAGTTGGGAGCTATGAGTTGCAGAAGATCAGTACGGATTGTACTGGACGTGGGGTTGTCAAGCAAACATGGATGAGACTTAGGCCAGGCTGGCGGACTATCCACAACTACAGACAAATCACAGTTCTCTGGTTGCATTTCATAATCCTCTCATGTCTCTTTGTCACTGCTTAAGGCATAGCATGAATAAATATAGAATATAATAAAGGGGATCTTCATCCTGGACGCCGAGCTGCAGCAGAAGTAGATACCTTCGCCATTGATTTCAGATGAATTTGTGTCTACTTATACAGGATAGACATTTGATTTGGCAGTTTTTCCATGGCCAGCGCAAAGATTCCCCACAAAACAGAACAGTAGGAATGACAGAGAATCTACAATATTTATTACAGAGCAAATAATAGCGGGATGGACACAGCCCTGACTGAAACAGGGGGTTGTGTAGATGTGATTTCATGTGTTAAAATGGTGGACTAAAGTCCCCAGTCCCTCCAACTTCCTGGTTAACCCTTGCTTGAGTGTTTAAACACTTAGTGCTAGAGTTATTGAAGCCATGGTGGTGTAAAAATTTTAAAAACAGGAATAGCAGGGAGATACTAATGATATACAGATGAAGAGCTGTCTAATCAATTAACATAATAAATTTGGGACAATTTTTCCCCATGTTTAGCTTTAAAGTTATTTCTCCTCTTTCAGAACTAAAGAAGGTTTTAAAAGGCTTAAAAGCGTAACAGCTTTTAGAAGTGCATCAGTTGTACTTCAGAGCAATGCTGTTCAGATGAAATAAACAGCCCACCTTCTACTTTTAGACATTGGCAAGCTTAACTGAAGGGCTGGCCGGAGAAGGAAGTATTTTCTCCAACTCATTTTTGGCTGAACAGCCCTTCACATGACAAAAGTAGTAAGCTGTCACAAAGAACAACTTTGCACTGGTGATGGACTGTTCAAAGAGAGCAATGCTACCTTATTATCTATGCCAAAAAAGTGGCTCAAGAGTTTATTAACATTTCTGATATGCCAAAGATGTCACTGATAATAGTTTAAAACTAAGTAATGAAAAAAAGAAAAGGCTTCTTACTAGCTGTAGCACAAAAGCTTGATCAGACACTCCATTTGAGCAGAGTCAGAAGACTGTTCCCATCCCACCCATCTTCTCCTTGAATTAATTATCATTAAGACAATCCTTTCATAAGACAAGGCAAGCTGGAAAAAATTCTGATTTTCTTGAAGTCACTGTGAATTTGTCCATTGCCTTCAGTAAGGGCAGGATTTTACCTAAAATTGCTAATAGACTTTTATAAAACAGAGTTGAAAAAGTTCTCACGGGCCATCTTATCCCCCCTCTTGCCTCGAGGCAGGATCAACTACATCTGTATCACTCCCGGTAGATGTTTGTCTAACTTGTCCTGAAAGAGATGCAAAACCTGACAGCACCTTGAGATATGTGCATTTTCTCCTGTCTCAAAACATGAGAAGAAAAAGGTATTTCTTACCAACTATACCAGGATTTTTGACTGGTTTAAAGGACCTGTGACAACTTTAACATTTGATGACTTGTGATCCACTAAGAATAAGGACTAATCCTACCCACCACCAGGGAGCTTTCTAGTGATTTATAGATGTTTTTTCCCTTTTAGCTCTGCTATTTTATATCTGACATGAAATCACGTCACTCCAGTTCCCCTCTTGCCTTTTTTCCCATCATTTCAGTTCCAGCCTGATTTCAGGGGTGCCCTTTAAAAATTGATAGTTAAAACTAATGCTTTTCTTTTTCTGAAGGCCTGTCATTCTTCCAGTGACGCAGCATGAAGTGTATAATTCTAATTCTAGGAGTGAAATGTTAACCACTGTAATTACGTTGGCAACATGGAAAGACAGGGAGGCAACTAGCAATAACCAGCAGGCAGGACTGGAGCTTATGGGAAGGAGAAGAGAGGGAGACGAGGGCAAAGACGAATTAAGTCTGGTCTTTGCAGTAAATTATTTCTGTGGATTTATTATGCTTCCAATATCAAACTGTTGGTCATTAACTGCACTTTTCTTGCAAACCAGTGCTCATCGAAACTAAGAAGGCTCTCTCTTGTGACTTTAGCAAGACCTGGATCACATTCATATGTAGTCAAAACCCGCTCCTCAGTGATATGCAATCTGAAATACACCCCTTGCATCTCCCAGCAACCACAAGAAATCAGCCCCACAACTGCTCAAAATACTCAGTAATAACGGATAATAATGTTCTTCTGAGAAATTAAATAGAAGCCCAATTTATAATGCTACTCAGCATTTATACCAGCGTTCCACCTTCCTGCTACATAATAAACGTTTACTAATTAACCCTCACAAAGCCTCAGCAAGGTAGATCTCTTCGCACCACTGATTCTGTTTTATAAATGGGAAGATGACGATACAAGATAGGTCTTTGAAGCTGTTCTAGAATATTCCATGTTCTAGAACGATCTCTTTTGTGAAACACAGACACAAAGTTTCATATTGACAGCTAAGGAGCACCTGAATATTTCTGAACTCAGAAAGTAAAGGTCTGAGGCAGATGCTTACACTTGGCAGTCAGGGAATGAGTGGGGGATTTCCCACGCATTCTTGCTCATTCTAGTGTATACCATGCATTAAGCTTCCACAAGAAATAATTTCTTAAAAGCTTGCTACATGGAATCCAATAGCAAAAAGCACAATCCATTGTTGATAAAGGGTATGAGAAACGGCTTTTTCATTTGGAGTTTGCTTTTGACCCTTACTGAGGGTTTTATGCACCCAATGCAAAAACTTGACAATCTCTACCTGTGAAAGACAAGAAAAAACAGTCTTCTCAACCAAATTAGAAAATACCTAGTTTCATATACAATCACAAAACATCCCAGGACATTAAAGGGTCCCAACTTTACACATGGGACAAAGGTGATTAATATTCTGAGAGACCAGGCAGCAGTGGATCAATCTGGAGTTTCAAATATGACTCTTTTCCACAAGACTCCTCTGCCTCATTACTGCCACCAAACGTTCCAAGAATGTCACTATGAGGGTGGGAGGACAGCAGTCGGGGACCGGAACAAGAATGCTTCATTGCTGGCCAGAGAAACCCTTGCATGCTGTTTGCAGGAAAAATAGCAACCAACTTAGAAGCTGGGACAGAGAGTCTGCGTAGGAACTGAGACCATTGCTGGGTCTGTGATATGACCCATAGGTATAAAGCTTTAGCATCATCTGTGGCTTTGAACTTCCTCAAGAGTTTGGTAAGATTCATTAAGTGTTGAAATCAGCCTCCTGGGGAAGTGGGAAAGCTTCTCTTTTCCTGCTCAGTGCTGCCTAAAGAACAGGTTTCTGAAGGCATTGTTGTAGTTTTTGTTGAAAGCAGTGTAGATCAGTGGATTAAAAAAGGAATTTGAATAGCCTAGCCATAGAAAAATACTCTTCCAAATGGGTGGAATGTCGCATGAGCAGAGAGGGTTGATGAGCTCTGTGATGAAGAAGGGGATCCAGCAGAGCACGAAGACCCCAATGAGAATGCCCACCATGAGGGCAGCTTTCTTCTCCTTCTGCTCTCTCCACGTGTCTCCGTCTGTCTGGAATGTAACGGTAGCATGACGGACATTGAAGACCATCTGTGGCTGTTGGGCAGCTTCCTTTACCTGCCAAACACAAACACAAGTTGCAGCATATGTGCTTCAGTCATCTGATCCCACAGAGAAAGTACACAACCAAATTATGTAAGTGATAACCAGAGTTTGTGGGGAAATGTGGGCCACCTACATTAGGCTCTGATTGAGGGGAGATTGGTTGTACGCCCTAATTCTCGGCAACAGAACTACTTTTAAGTGAGGCTAGAACTAAAGGCAGCAGTGAAATCTGTGCACGTAGAACTGCTCACAATGCATCACAATAAGAGTATTTACGATTTACAATCGGATCAGTAGAACAGGCACACACCCATATGCCACGCGCAAAAGTGTTACTTTCTCTGTACATGGGGAGATTAAGAATCCTTAATACAAAAACGGAAAAAAAGAGCACTAAACATACATTACCTCCAGAAATCCTTACATTGCACATATCCCATACTTGAGGATAAGTTGACCCCATCTAGCCATGATTAGGAAGGACTTACAAGGACGTTTTGCATGCGTCTTTTTTGTGGACATAACTCACTACCTCCCCCCAAAACACAGCTACTTTCCAGATTATCTTTCATAGTTTAGATGGGATCCCATCCATCCACACCCCCACACACCTCGCCGAGGGAGAAACGGTGACCCCTTACTCACGTTAGTGAGCACTGATTCAGCGTTCCACAGGGCGACTTCGGTGAGTCACTGCACACCCACGTGGAGCCGAGACTCTCAGTCTGGCCCAAAGTTGCATAGCTACACCTTGCATGCAGGCAGCTTTCCCGACGAGGGCTCGGAAGGAGTCAAAAGACCGGGCTTGCAAGCTGTGGAATAAACTTTCCTCTGAAAGCCTTTAGTATCTGCATGGCTTTGGTGTGTTGCTGTTTATTTGCACACTTTAAGTTTTCCCACTACTGTGGGGTCTTGGCAGCTGGGAGCTCTTTTGCTACCAGCAGTTATTTAGAGCAAACCCCAACCACGATGACCTACCTCTAGGGCTTCTGGGGTAATGGGGGTGATGGAGTTGCTCTTCCGTTTTTTTGTAGATCTTCCAGTACACAAAGAGCACCACGCACAGGGGCAGGTAGAAGGCGCCGAAGGTGGAGAAGATGGTGTAGGATGGCTCCTGGCTGACTTGGCACTCCTCACTGTCCGCTGAGTAAGTCTCCCCCCAGCCAAAGAGCAGTGGGGCCAAGGAAATGAAGGCAGAAAGGGCCCAGGTGAGGGCGATCATTATGTTGGAGATGCGGCGCCGGGTGCGGAGCGTGTACTCCAGGTGGCGGGTGATGGACCAGTAGCGGTCCAGGGCGATGGCCGTGACGTTCCAGATGCTAGCAGTGCAGCACAGCACGTCGAAGGAGATCCACATCTGGCACAGCAACCGGCCCAGCCGCCACCGCCGCCCCGACAACTCATGCACCAAGCTCAGGGGCATGACGAGGGCCGCCACCATCACGTCGGAGACCGCCATGGAGGCCACCAGGTTGTGGGGCACCCGGTGGAAAGTACGCACCCGGAGGATGGTGGCCAAGACCAGCCCGTTCCAGAGGAAGGTGGCCACCACCAGCATGACCAGGAGGGGGAGGATGAGCACGCTGAACACGGAGAGCTGTGCCCGGCCCCGCCT